AACAAATTCCATTCCAACTCATACTCCAACAAAATTAATTACCCCAAACCCCACTCCCTCTACACCAACAAATATACAAATATCTTACCACAAAACCCATTACTATCCCTTCCACCTTATCAAACACCAACATCTCCACTCACATTACTCCACCACCTATTCAAACCACATTTCCCCCTTATACCACCACAAAACCATCCATCCAACATTTCCTCTCCAACCTCACTCTTAAAACCCCCCCCCATCTAATAACTACTCCCCATTGTGAGTCGCATGACACAAATACCTAACATAATCAGAACTACAAAAATAATCATTGTGTCTCGCCCCTCATCAATCCCCATATCCTACACACCACCCAAAATGATAACTCTAGTGCTTTCTCATACCAAACAAGTGTGATCCGAGCACTAAATGAATGCAGAATATATAAATATGATTAAGAAGCCACTGATACACCCTTGTGCCCACACACCAGACACATATAAACATCATTACTAGATGTCTGTATTCTACTTCCCCTCCTCCTTCACACCCAGTGTGCACACCTTACTAGATCTGAATGATGTGACACTGTATACAAACCTATCATCCACACTCTCAACTTAACTACCACCGAAACCCAGACTGACTCAGTCGTGCTCTATAGACTCAAATCACCTATCGCTCCTCACTCCATGTCACACCTCATCACATAACAGAGACAGAATAGAAATAATTAGAGTGACCAATGAACCCCATCCAACATGTAACACCCGTTCCCTCAACTCCCACACCTTACTCCATAAAACATCTCTGTTCTCCTCTACCCAACTCACCTGTCCATCACTAAGTCACTACTTCGTCTCCTCACTATACCTCAACCATATGTGTACACGCTGTCCTCACCAGACTTAACGCAAGTACCTCATGTATGTCAACCACCCCACTAACTATATCACCTGACCAGAAAGATAGAAGATATCCTGATACTGACACAATCCACCCCACAGTGCAGTCCCAGATCGCACACACTAATATCAACAAATCCAGATGACTCATCCTCCCACATATCTCCTACCCACCCATGCACTAGATAATATCTCAGAACTGTGTTGTCTTACTACTGAATCATACTAAGTATCGTCCGTCTCCAATCAAACCACACACAGAAACTTCTAGCGCTATGTGATCGAGTCATTCCTCGTTACTATTCTCATACATCAAACATTCTCCTCTATATCTCAACGACTCTCCAGACTCCACGACACAATGTGTGACAGTCATATCTCTCTTCAGACACCACCCTGACTCATGATCAATAGTGTGATCACACCTCACGTATATCCTCCTTCCCACTGCATACTATGTGTACCAAACGACAAAAGAATGCACTCCCACTCACCCTGCCAGTACCAATCTACCAGATCTATACTACAGATTTAGAAACTCATACTGTATATGTTTAACGACCCCCATCCGTCAACTCATAAATCCATTGAGAGACATCACAAATCCAGTTGTAAGTTACCAAAGCTCGCTCGCCAATGTCTCCGTTGACTGTGTCCTATACCGAGTCACACTTATATTGTGACGTATATCTCACCTCCCATATCCCAGTCTCCTCCTATCCATATGAATGTAGTAGAACTGATATTAACACTTGCCAAAGGTCCTGTCTACCCCACCTCGTGTGTCCAGTCACATCCATCACACAAGAGATCTCACACCACCACCCATCACACACAACATCCATCGCCTAATACGTTATGAAATCGCTTCACTACCCCATTCCTGACTAATACCCTCTCCCCCATCGACACTTCCACGCTCTCACACTGCTCTACTATCTCACCTGTCCCATAAACATGATAGAATCAACACTCCCTATAATTATACCCTCCCACACAACCTATCGCCAAACCCTCCTAGAGATAGAATCCATCATCTTGAGACACTTGTCCACAATCATCGCTGTAATACTCCAGGTTTGTATACTGTGTTGCACACCACTCTCATTCACTACCACACTCACACTACCTGACTACTCCAATCATACCAACCCCATATTATAATCTACTGACCATGCCTGTGTTCTCACTAGCTCTAAGACTTACCTCCCCCCTGTTGCACTACGTAATCTCAATGATGCCCATTAGACTACATCGTCAAATAGTATGTCCTACCAGAATTTATCCAAGTGACACCCCTCAATTGTATCTATGTGAATCTATATGTCAAACTCTACTCTGTGGTCTCTCAGTCCCACTCCACCCAACTAAAGAGTCGTCCATCCTCTCCATCATGAGTTCTCTTTGTGTCCAGAGATCCTAGTCTGTTCATAGATCATCCATAAGCAGATCTCATACAAGTTCAAGTCAGCACTCATGTCACAAATACACAGTCGTAGTGATGCGTCCCATCATAGCTACTCTGTGAAACCTCCTATATAAAAAGTGTGACACACATGAAACTGAGACTACCCCACAACCACATCTCTCCGAAAATACCACTTTCTTCACACCTACCTCTTAAGTACCAGTCACAATCCTACTCTCTACCTAGTTCTATACCTCTGAACACTTGTCCAGTGACCATACTTTAAGCCTCCCCCTATTCTCCACCCTCAGACCCCCCCCCACTCCGTCATCCACTAGTTGTTCAATGCCTCAGACAATAATATTCTGCGCCCGCACAACATCCCACTTAACCTAATCAAGCATGCTGTCTATTGTGACTCAATCGATGTTAATCACTCCTACATCCCATGTGATCTATGCCCATAACAAGTGGCTCTGTCATTACTCCACACCCATAACCTCCTGTCTCTCAGATTGCATATAGAATCTACATGTCCCTCCTCACTCTAATACTCACTTAGATAGTGACCCCTATCAGACCGCTCTAATGACCCACCCCAGTTAGCCTCTTTGTCTGATACATTTCTTATGTGACACGACCTATGCCCACTCATCCTGTGCCACCCTCTCTATTGTCTCCTTCACATGTCTATCCTCAGATCTCCTCTGTCACCAACCGCTATGTGAACTGTACCGCCAGCAGCTTTCTCTTGTCTAGACTTATGTGTAGTCGCCTAACTCACTCTGTTATATCACTGTGCAGACTTGATCGTGTTGTATATCCTATGTGCATAGCTATCCTCA